TTTTGAATCTGGTTTCAGGCCTGGTTATGGAACTGAAACAGCCTTGGTTGCTCTAGTAGATTACCTGCTCTGGGAATGGGAAGATGGGGTATAACTCTGATGATGGTTCTTCTTCTCTCAGTGACTTTTGATACCATTAATTACTGGTATGCTTCTGGACCACCTTTCTGGGTGGGGATTTGGAGGTGCCTTCCAGCCCTACCTGAAGGGTAGATTTCAAAAGGTGGAGCTAGGGGACTGCTGTTCAGCCCTGGACTTTAGCCAGTGAGGTCCCACAAGGCTCCATCTTGTCCCTTATGCTTTTCCACATCTACGTGAAACTGCTGGGTCAAGCGATCTGGAGATTTGCTCTGGGTTGTCACCAATAAGTAGATGACTGGCTGATCCCAGGGAGTCTGAAGAAACCCTGAACCAGTGCCTGGAGGCAGTTTTGGAGTGGATGCAGCAAAGAAGCTGAAGCTTCATCCCAACAAGACAGTAGTGCTACTGGCGAGTGGAAGGTCTGACCAAGAATTTAGAGTGTCACCCATTTGGATGTGGTTGCACCCTCCTTGAAGAACAGGTCCATAGTGTGGGGGTGCTCTTGGATCCAGGCCTTCTACTGGATAAGCAGGTAGCAGTTGTACCCAGGAGTGCCCTTTACCAGCTTCAACCTGTTAGCCAGTTACAGTTTTCCTGGGCAGAAAGATCTGGCCACTGATTACATGTAGATTGCACTCTTTGCAATGCACTCTTCATGGGGCTGCCCTTGAAAACTGTTCAGATATTTTATTTGGTACAGAATGCTGTGGCCAGAATGTAGGTGAAATGAGTTGTAGGGATCATATCACTCCAGTCTAGATGCTTTCTCTTACTGTGCAAGGATGTATGCTGGCTACTTAAACTAGATCTTTATCTCCAAATGCTTTTGGATATTTGCTGTAATTTTTTGGTAATAGCGCTGATAACCTGACCTGGGGTATGTAAACTATGGATGCAGTAGGTCAGTGTAAGATTTCACAATATTATTTTAAATATGTCATAACTATAGATTCTATGTCTGCATTATTTTCAGCTAGGAAGAACTCTTCAACATGGTCATTTTTATTAATTCTGGGCTGAAGGTCAGGGTCTTAAATATGATGTTTAAACAGATGTAAAGTTTGACCAGCGTGGTCTCTACCCCAGCCCTCCACCTGACAGACTTAACCCAAGTGGCTTCTGAATAAAATAAGTTCAGCACCTGTGAGGAGAACAGTCATTTTTATTTACTTCCACGGCCTGGAACCCACATATCTGAGGAACTGCCTCTTCTCATATATGCCTGAAGAGTGTTACGCTCTGTGGACCAACATCTCCTGGTTGTCCCTAGGCTGAAGGACGTCCACCTTGCCTCGAGCAGGGCCAGGGCTTTCGCTGCCCTGGCCCCTGCCTGGTGGAACATGCTCCCAGTTGAGATTAGGGCCCTGCGGGATCGTCTTTAATTCCACAGGGCTTGCAAGACGGAGCTGTTCCACCAGGCTTTTGGCTGAGGCAGCGGATGTTCCTATATGGCCTCCCTGAGGTTGTTGTCACCCACCTACCAACCCAAATAATATGCCAAAGAACCTCCCACAACCAGTTGACTTGTCTGAATTGTGATTGTGTTTTAATGTTTATTATTTTAAATTATTTAAATTTTTAACTGTATTTATTTTATTGTTTTATGGTGTTACTCGCCCTGAGCCCGCTTGCGGGATGGGCGGGCTATAAATATAAATAATAAATAAATTCCATGGATGGGGAAATAAGGCAGTTCAGAAAAGAGGATAGAAACTATTAACAGGTGTGACACAATTGATAGTTTAGGAGAACAAACAACAGTTAGCTGCCAAGTTTGTATTCCTGAGGTGAATATTGGTCTTCTCTCAGACTCAAGATTCTCACAGGGTGAATGTGAGCTGGATAGCCCAGGCTAACCCAATCTTGTCAGATCTCAGAAGCTTAGCAGGGTTGGTCACTATGCAGAGGCAGGCAATCGCAAACCACCTTTGAATGTCTATTGCCTTGAAAGCCTTACAGGGTTACCATAAATCAGCTGCAACTTGACAGCAGAACAACAACAACAATGAGCTCCTCTCAGAAAACACAAACCTTTCACTAGTTTGTTCCTCAGAAACTGGGGCTTTGGGATGGCTTCAGTCTCTTCCTCAACCTGCTTTATCCCCAAAAACAGGTTCTGAGACTTCCAAAGTCTCCTGAGACAGGTTCTGTCCCGACTCCCAACTAAAACTCTGGAGATGCAAACCCTATCACCACACATTCGCTAGTTTAGCATGCAAGCCAGTTCTGAGACAGGATCCCTCGGGTCTCTTTCTCTGGGTGTTCAGGCTCTATCTGCCTGAGCTGACAGTGTAACAGCTCCCCCCCCCCCCCACTCTTCCGGCCTTTCCAGGGATCCTGGCTGGCTGCTCTGCTCACATGCTGAACAGGACCAAAGGGGCTGGTGTATTTTGCCCATAGATCACAGATGCTTCCTGATGGAACTGTATGTGACTGGAGAAAATGCAAATTCCTGCCCAGCTTTGTAGAGCAGCAAGGTGACACATTCTCCAATAAAAAATCAGTGGGCAGAATGAGGTGCTGCACCCTTCCTCCGCTGCTGCAATCCCTGGTCATTCTCTTTCCAGCCAGATTCATTTCCCTACTTGGAGCCTGCTGGGAGAAAAATGAATGAAGATTTCTGCAGGGGAGAAATGTGGGCAAAGAGAGGATAGCATACTTTACTGCATTGCTTTACTGCTGTTTGGTAGTGTCTGTATTCAGTATGAAAGTTTGCTGCCACTATATGCAGTTCCACCACCAGTTCTTTCTAAACTGTTCCATTTTGTTAGCAAAACTTCAAACTAAGTTTTAAAATGTCTTGGAGATGGTGATAAATTGAGGGTTTCAGAGATGGCTGATCATGGAAAAGAGTGATCTCATTTTGAAGTCTTGAGGAGGAAAAGAGTGTTCTGCTCCTGCTGTGACCCCCCCCCCCTTTCAACACTCAGGAGGCAAAGGGAAGAATTCCATTGAAGACCTTAATGTTGGCTTTTCCTTCTGTATTTGTACATGGTCGCTATTTTTATTTTCATTTTGCTCACAGTTATACAGTCAGAGATGGATTTTGTATCATTGGTTTATCCATATGGCTGAACATCTGAATAAGAGTCTCAAGATCATCGCTTTCACAGAGGAATAATTTGTTAATCAAAATAAAAAAATAGTTATCCCACTGTTGGTGTACATGGTATTAATTTGCTACAGTATATGATGTTTAAAAATGTTTTATTGTTTCTCGCATGTAATCTCTGTTACTCCACGTTTAATGTGTGCAACTCAATTTTTACATGTAGCTTGAGTTGGATTATTAGTTTAGTGCAGTGATACTCCATGGTTTATGGAGAGCTGCATCTGCAATTACCATCAACCTAAGAGCTACATTTACTTCCTTTCATGGCACGAGGCTTGTACCTCAGGGAGATCTGCAGCTTTCCCATTCTTCTGTTGGCAGCTGTTTCAAGGTGGGAACCACCTGCCAACCACAAGCTCCACCACCATGCAAGGGCCTTGGCCACTTTTCTAAAACATGGGGCAGGTGCCGCAGTGGGGTGAAGTGCTCAGAAGAGCCACTGACTGAGTATCTCTGGCTTAATAGGGCATAGTCTGGAATTAAAACAAAACAAAGGTGAGCAGGTAAATGTAACTTAGTAATGTCCCTTTATGTTTTATGTCAATGTAAATCTAGCAAATTAATACAAATGGCTTATAGAGCAGCAGCATCCATTGAATACTTGGCCATTGGTTTAATAAGTGCATGATGTTCTTTCCCAGTTGCAAGCCAATCTCTTGTATTACTGTTTCAAGAAAAAAAATGTTAGAGGATCTGGCATAATTCTGGTTCCTTTCTTTGCACTACCTGTTTAAGCTTCTGTTGCTAAGGTAGGCTCTGTGCTGCTGAAACATCCTTGCATATCTGATTTAGTGTGTAGTGGAGAACTTGTACAGTGCACAAGTGCCCCAATAATGTTCTGGTGCTAATGCTGTATTTGTTTTTAATGATATAATTAAGTCTGTAACAAAACATTCTGTGTTTTGTAAGTAAAAAAAATCCATAAGATTCAAAATGTTGAATGGTATACTGTGCAATATTTTTACAGATAATTAATTCTGAAAATATTTAGCACATGTTGAGTGTTCACTGATTGTGTTACTAGCATTGTTCTGATCTAAATAAGGATGTTTTCCTGTTGCATAGCCTGATGAGCCTAACCTTTTTCTCCTAGATATGCCCAGCACAGACATAACAGAGGAACTCACTCTTTTGGGCAAAGCTGTGGGCTCTTGAATGCCCTGCTCCTGCCTCTTTTCATGCAGATTCTTTTGCTCCATAATTTGTTTTAAAAGTGATTTGGTGTTATGTCAGGCTTGGCATGATTGCGGATGAAATTAACCAGAATTACCCCCTATGAACTTCAAGCCATTGTAACAAGGGCAACCCTGGCTAATTTTAACTATCTTTGTGCAAATGTATTATTAAATAATTATTAAAACATATATCACATATAGAATCAGAGAAGCATGTGAGACCCTTGTCTTTCAAAACTGTGATCTGTAAATATCCATGCACAAGGCTATAGATGTGTTCTACACTTGTTTCGTACCCCTTTGCCCTTTTAAAAGTACTATTGTGCACTGTGTTTGGCATAATGGTTTGATAGCTGTAGAACATTGAAATACACCAGAGGTCTATACTATTGGGCATTAAAGTACACAGTTGAAATCTGAGAACTGTAACTATTACAATTAATTACAATTCAATCTTAGCTGAAAGTATGTTTGACATGTGAGATAAAATATAGCCTACTCAATGTTTGAACCATTTAATCATGCCGTTGGAAAAGACAAGAAATTTAATAACTTTTAGTGAAGATTTGAACCAAGCAAGATTCTTCAGTCTAATCGGTATTTTCTCCGTCCCCCTTTCCCCCCCATCAGCTTCTGCAATGGGTTGCGGACTCAACAAGTTGGAAAAACAAGATGAAAAACGGCCTGGTAACATCTATTCAACACTGAAGAGGCCCCAAGTGGAAACCAAAATAGATATTTTGTATGAGTATCATTTCCTGGAATTTACAACTTTAAGTGATGGTAAGTCTATTTTCTATTTTAGGATGTTTTAAAAAGCTATCTAGCATACTTGTCGTATTTCATGTTGATAAGAAGAAATAGTAATAAGAAACCACAGCATTTAGGATCTTAGCAAGTAAAGCAACTGACTAAAGCTGCTTTGTTCTGCCTTGGGATGCTTATTTCAAAACAATTCAGCATTTTCCACTTCCAGTTATTTATATATTTTATTTTTATTTATATTATTTATAGTCCACCTTTCTCACAGAGACTCAGGGTGAATTACACACCGTAAATTGATGTAATGGGGGCAGAATGGGACAAATAAGCAATGTTAATAGGATTAGGATAGCAGAATTCTGAAGCAAAGCTGACACAATGTTTATCAAATGGAGTGGAATATCACACATCAGTTGAGAACCAGGACTAGGATCAGGGAGACACAGGTTCAAATCCCCACTCTGTCACTGAAAGTTTGCTGGGTGACCTTGGGCTAGTGGCACACTTTCTCCCTAATCTATGCCACAGTGCTTTTTTGAACATAACGTGGGTGAAAGGAGAATGCAAGCCACTTTGGGCTCCCGTTCGGGAGAAAGGTGGGGTGTAAAATAAATAAATAAAAATAATAATAATCATATATGTCACAGAGAGAGGAGATGAAGATTTTTGACATAGATTTAGCAGAGTAGCAACTGTTTAGCTAATTAGGGTAACATATGTGCTACTAATTGTTTGGCATTCACTGCTCAATATTCACTATGGCTCACCCTACCTTTGAGGAAAGTAGAAAGAAAATGTGTGATAAGTAATGTCAAGTCGTGAACCTCATATTTATTATTTATTTATTTGTTCAATTTATACCCCACCCTCCCCGCTGGAGCAGGCTCAGGGTGGCTTACATAAAAAAAAAACACATAAATAGCAATTATAAAATTATAAAACCTTCTAAAACCATACAAAATTATAACATTCTAAAGTGCTAGCAAGCTATTTCTCTCTTCTTGCTAGCGGGTATTCTACCCGTTTCCAAAATATCATCACAACTTTAAGTAGCCTTTGGGAAAAGACCTCTACCCATTTTTTGGGGAGGGGTATTTTTTGGTATTTTTCATAAGTGCACACGCGTGTGTATGTACGTCTAACCTCTGGTGACTGACCCCTACTGTGGGCCTGGAGGATATTCAGAGGTGGCTGAATAAAGCCTGCCCTCACCTCCCGACTGCTGGTATTCCAAGGAGGTCTCCCATCCAAGTACTTGCCAAAGTCAACCCTGCTTAGATTCCAAGATCTGACGAGATCGGGCTTTCCTGGGCTATCCATGGCCGGGGCAAGACCTCCACTCCTTTGATAAGCATGCACACAGTGTGTGTTAGTGTTCACTATATACAGAGCCCAGTTCTTTTCAAGGCCTACTGTAGAAAATGTTTTTCTGAGGCAGTATTTTGTGGGCAGGCATTATACTAAGCATGAAGTTGTTTTGGCTCTTTGGATACTTGCTTTTATTATAAACAGCCTTGTTCATTATTTGTAGGTTGGAGTCATTCATATTAAGTGAGTAGGAAGATTGTCATAAGACAAACATGCTCTGTTGAATTTGTGTTATGTTTGTGAGACTGTAATGTGGGCTATCAAGAAAAACATAGTAAAATATTAGATATTTATTGTCAGTGATCATTTTGACTTTGCTTTGTAATGCATTGTTATGTCCAGCTATATTGCTAATTTTGACTAGTGCTGATCTAAGTAATTTAAATGTGCTGCACAATTTCCTGGCCCATTTCTTGTTTCTTTTTCTTTTTAAACATAGTGTTAAAAATAACTTGTTAGCAAATGAGGTGGTCATGTTCTTCAGTTTTGAAAGTATAGTCATGCAGAAAAATCCTTTTACATCTGCAGGACTGAGATTTATAACATATCTGACATTAATTTGTGTAACAAAACCCATAAGTCCATGATGCATTTTAGTATTTAACTTTTATTTTAAAAAATTCCTATGGAGGTTGGCTGTTAGGGATTCTGGTGGGGTTTTTTAATGCTTTGAATTTAAATTGTGCAGTAAGCAAAATATGGCTAAGACATCTAAAGTGAAAAGGCAAAACTTAGGGGTGTGAATCAAACCATTCTCCAAGTAGACTTCCTTCAATAGGGTTGCCAGGCATAGCTGGGTGACTGGTGGGAGTCTGGCATATGTGCTGTCAGATAACAGTGTGTTGTTACTTCTGGGGAAAACTCAGAAGTGATGTCATGTCATGCTTCTCTAATCACCAGAAATGCTATGGAAAACCATAGAATTTCTCATGATTCCTAGAACAGACAGATATCACTTCTGGGTTTTTTAACAGCTTTTTTTTAACAATATTTTTTTCTTGCTGGCTGCAGGAGCGGCAGTGGGAAGCCAGAGCTGGGGGCGACTGATGGCCCACCCTCAG